TATATATAGTGCATGTATGAGCCCTATAGCGCTTGTTTTTTCGTTTATCGTTCACGAATTCGAGCAGCATTGGTGAAGCGTCCAGGCCTGTGCCGAAATTATTCTTTGGGATCTGTTTGCTTGTAGGACACAACTGCACTGTAGATTTTTCTCCGGTCTTCATGAAGAATTCTGGTTGCCTTCTCAATGGTATTGCTGTTGTGCAGTACCTTTCCCGTGAGGTTCTCCTGCTGGCAATTTTTGTCTATGGCTTCTCATAGTGAAACATCACGCAACGTCCAACTCAGATTTTCGTCGTTTACGATATTAACCCTGTAGAAGAATAACTTAGTGGAACAAACTCTAGCCAAGCCCAACATTGCTTACGAAATAGGAAGAAAAGATGTTCGTGAGTCTCGATATCGCAATAATCCCAAACGGAGTGGACTTCTTCGAATAATAAAATAGCGAGTATTCTGTTTGAAAAGCCAAAAAAACCTTCAAAAGTGTTATCCGAGATGCAATCGAAGTGGTGAGGCAAGAAGCGCCATTTATCACGAAAGTGAGGGAGGAGATCCGAAATTTATACATAAGTCGATGACCTGACAATCCGAGATCTGTGCATCAGATTTCGGAAGCTAGAAGTGCTTAATATGTGGTGGGCGTATACTACAACCAATAGACTGGATTCGTTATCAGATCCATCAGGTCCTTTTCGCTGTACACGTAACGCATAACGGAAAGACCAGCAACCAGATGATCAGACTTCTTTGTGAAGTTTACATAAAAACAATATATTTATACTGTTTAAGCGTTTCTAGCGAGCACTACCAGCTTAGCGACTTCGGAAAGCAAATTCTAGCAACCGAGACTCTAGTGCTGCTTGAACATTAGTTGAAAAAATGTTTGCCCGTAGAAAAGAGTTCTCTTCTTCACAGTTAAATGCTAAGACAAAAAATTGATATTCAACTTGCAACAAAAGCAGTATTGTTTATTTCAGCGTTCATCTATTTTCCATTCGTTATGAGCATGTTCTGTGTCGGATTTCCTATGACTTGTCTTGAACTGGCTTTGGGTCAGTACACTCACGCCTCGGTGCTAGTGATATTCGATCGAATAGCTCCGATCGCTGTCGGTCTGTTTCTCACTTAGTCTTTTTGATTCTGTCATAGCATAGCTGAGTGGGTACATCCAATAATTTCATGGAGTTTAGCGATTTCCTTCCCGCTCTGAGCCATCAAAAACATTTAGCAATGTTGCCTTTGAACGCAAACATTCAATTTCTAAGTATCCGGACAAAATGACAGTTCGAATATTTTTAAACATTACTCGAACATCATTTACTACAAGAAAGGAATCTCTATGTTAGTAACTCTCAAATAGTGTTCCCCACTGTTTCAACAGAATAATCGTTCACGGTGTAAGTCTGTTTCGCCAACAGTGACGTCCGCGTGGCTCATTCCGTATTCTTTAAATCATCTCCACCTGCCAGTGCAGATGGTTGAGGTCAGTCATGAACATTTCCGCCCATCATCAGAGCTGTCGTTTAAGAGGATGCTTGCGTTATCTTTGAGTCCGCTTCATCGTTCTTTTCGTCTAGGTGTCTTCTTATAAACTGATTATGTTGAGCTGACGCGAGGTTGGTATAGCTGCTATTGTTATTGTCGCTGCTTGACGTCTAAGCGATTTCTTCCTCTTCAGAGCTTTAAAGTTGGGAGATTAAACAACGACAACAACTACGCCAGCCTCGCGTCGGCTGAGGATGATCAATTTATAAGAACATATAAATAAATATATCGATCATTTATGCTGAGGTTCATAGAATGTTTATCTTTTGAGTTATATGTTATCCGTTTTTCTTATCACATAATTGACCCATCTGTGGTTGAATATCGACGTTTATACTCCAGGATCATGAGGAAGAGAGCGTTTTCGAAGATCTGAGCTGCGTACCCCAGCTAGACGTTGTGAGCGCCAGTTATACTTCAAAAGAAGTGCGCTCTCGACTTGGCTGAACTACCGGCCCACGTCTCTATCGCAAAACCGAGCTCTGGCAAGACTGTTGAGTAGGAATGATGAAAATGGAGTTCAGGCTCCGCTAGCTGGTCGGGAGCTCGTTTCAGAGGCCAAATGCTTCTCATGTTGCTCTCCTTTCGTTTAATTTTTCCTGAGTGTTGCTTCTCATGTTAATAGAACGTTTCAGGTACACGCATGAGGAGGTATTTGCAATAAAAAAACTAGCTAGTTCGATTTGCTCATCTTCGTTCAATAAGAATTCAAAATTCACCAACTAGGTCTTCATCTCATTAATACGCAGTCCAATCTTTTCTCTACTCTACTCTACTGAGCTTACCATCATCCATAGTTGGTTGGAACTCCTCGAAAAGATCAGTTGACAAAAATTTCTTATCAGGGCGCATACTCTTGTAGCCCTAGTCGAATGTTATTTACTGCTTAACAAGAATAGCGAGAGTTATCTACCCCAGTACAGTTGTAAACAACTTTGACATGGTAGTGTCACCTCTTTTAGCCTTATTTTGATGAGATAAAAAGCCGATGGAAATGCTGTATTTTTGCGTTTCATTTACGATAGTAGTGAGCAAATAATTTTGTTACACATGTTCATTTCTTGACCGACAAGAGCTGAAGGGACTGGTGTTCTTAAAGCGTAAAGCACGTATTCGACAAAGATAAAAATAAATGAAAGCTAGTACTTTTGACAAACTTCGGTGACGCGGTAAACGATTTGGATGTGGTCTATGTAATATGGTCCTTTTCCGTGCTGTAATAGCTCAACAAAGCCAACAAGGATGTAGGGCGATGGTTACGAAGATTTCACTAATCACCTTTCTCGAATGGGATTATAGTCTGTGTGGTATTCCACTGGTCCCTTCTACATGGAGGCAAAACGTTATATGCTTTAGAAGTAGTACACGTAGCATATGGCTTCTAGCTCGAAGAAAATCTGCCGTAATATTATCGAGTCTAAAGATGTGTTTCTCTTCATACCTCCTAACACGAGCTTCAGAAGGAGTAATTTTTCTCAGTTTTTCTTCGTTGAAGACTTCGAGATCTGAAACGACAATTGTGGAAAGCAAAAGATTGTATCATAGCACTTTTGTTATCCCCTTTTTGCACCATTCTGCATCCTGGTATAAGCTCCCGTTGTCCCATCTTCGTTTATCAGCTTTGATAACTTAACACCAAGATCAGACAAATTCCTGCAGCACTTATGCAAGTCCAGCAAAGATCCTACGCAGCTGGCATTTATTGTAAGGATGTCGCGTGTATTGCAGTAATACCTATACTCAGGTTCTTTCTCTTTTTGAACGAATCATCAGCCTTAGCGAGGATAGAAATGCAGTCTAGCATTTTTTCTTAGGAAACTTAGGCAAGTTCTGCACAACCTTTAAGTTTTTTGACAAATAGCTTGTAGTCTTCGAACGGATCTTTCCGATCTACCTGTCATAGTGGCGACTTATTGGAGGGTATTCCAGTTGCATTTTTCCTCTTGGCCGATGATAAGAGTTCTTTTCTACCTTGTGATTGAACCTAGTCTTCGCACTTAGAATATTATGATCAGATGCAGTACAGAATGGAGGCAGCATGGAGGTGTCAAAGAGAAGCGATCTTCAGTTTGTGAGAATGTGGCTGATCTACACATGAATGACACCGTTAGGGGATTTCCATGTCGAGCAACGATTTTTTGTTTTCTTAAAAGATGAATTACCATGAAGGCGACCACGGCCACTGCAAAACATCTTTCATTTCATGTTCACCAATAATGTATTCTCTTCCGTTGTTTCCTTCCTATTCTGGTATTGAAGTCCGCAACAACGATGTTATGAAACGACTTCTCGCTTTTGATCATTTCCTTCAAATGGTTGGAAAACGCGTCCAGTTCGCTTTCATCATCTGTACAAGCTGGTGAATACAGTTGAGGACAATGAGCTTCTTTAGCCCCAAAGGTTGATGGCGAAGCATAACCAAGGGATATGATAGGATTTGATATGCGGTTACTTAATGGACAACAGATGGGTACATAACAAAATCGACGTCACCGATATTGCGCAAAAAAATTTTCCTTCATTGAATGCCATTGGTCCCGTTATTTAATTGACTTCACTAAGTCAGTTTTCCTACTTTTCAATTTTTGTAGGCGACCACGTAAATTTTGCCACGACAACAATCAAGAAAAACATAAAGATTAGCGTGTTAAAAGAATGTTATGGTGCTACATGTGCGGAGCAAATAGCAGTTTCTATGGTGTCTCCTGTAGGTTCTCATTTGGTTCGGTTTCATTGACCTCCTGTACAGTCCTAGATATGGTCACTTCTTACCGGTTGTCTCATGGCTCGATATCATGAATGGGGGGCCCAATCTGTCGGTTAATGAGGGTGGTTCATTGCTGGTTGAATCATTCTTGCTTTCCCAGAGTCACGAGATACTCCTAGCTTCCATGACGGGAGCGAAAACATTTCTCTCGGAGAACTCAAATCATAACGCAGCCTACAAGCATTTCTGCAAGAGAATCCAAGTGGTTGAAATCTAGTGATGCTTCTGCTTTTCTATTAATCAAGCCTTTGCCAGGATGAAATAAAGAAAATCTATTTTGCTTCTCATTCCAGATATTATTTACTTTCATCTATGTGTTCGTAACCCCTCCTCACATATCGTGCAAATTCCAGCACTTCCTTTCATTTGCTTTACCATGTGGCATCCATCATTCAAGAGGCTCGAATATTTACATAGGCTGGGCCGCATTTTGAAAATTTCGACATTTTTCTTAATGTAGGAGAATTCTGTTCGAAAAGATTCTTCGTAAAATCCTAGGACCACTGATCCCTTGAACTCTGTTAAGGCGCCTCCAGGTTTTCAGCACAGACAGCAGCCGGATCTTGTGCCCTGGAGGATATGTTTCTCTGTCGATGTATATTCTCCTGGATCTCGAAGATGTGACAGATTTCGAAGATCAGAGCTTCGCATTACGGCTAGATATTGAGAGTGCCGGTTATGTCTCAAAAGATATCGCTCAGGCGCTCTGCGAGTAGTTCGAAGCATTCTTGACGTAGTTGAAGTATCAACCAACGTCTCTGCAGGATAACAGAGCGCTGGGAGGACAGTAGAGTCAAAAAGATGAGCACGGATTTTCAGGTCCTTCAGTTTGTCGGTGGCTTCTTTGAGAGGCCGGAATGCGGTCCAAACTGCTCTCCTTCTTTTATGTAGTTTTCCTTAATGTTGTTTTCCATGTTCATTAATCGCCCAAGTGAACCCACGAGGTGGTCTCTGCAATGAGAGAGCCATCCAATTCAATTTTTTCGCCTTCGCACACGGGTTTCTCATGAACTGGGTCCTCTTTCGATTTGTGTGAAGTCCGATCTTTTTTCCACTGCAGTGCGGCACTGAACAGCTTTGGCGATATTGTGTCGCCTTGTCGAACCCATTTTACTATAGGTATTGTAAGAGATCGGTGGGAAAGCTATATTTTCGCAGCGCGGTTCCGATAGCAGTCGGACAGTCCTTACGCAGGACGGGTCCACTGCTTGGTCGACGAGCGCCGATAGGATTGCATTCGTTTCGACACTGTCAAACGCTTTCTCATAGTCGACAAAGGTTAGGACTAGAGGCAATTGGTATTCCCGACAAACTTTGATGACTTCTATGCGGAAAAACCCCTTTATAAATCCTGTTTACTCGGCTGGTTGCGCCTCATCCAATGTCCTTGATATGCGCGAGAAAATAATCTTCGTAAAGAGCATGTAGAGGACACTCAATAAGCATATCAGATGAGTTACCAAGATCCCTTCGGTCACCATAGGTAGGATGCCCGTGCATGGCGTTCTCCACTGGTCTGGATTTTTTTCCTTTCGGAGATAGGCTGTCATATGGTTTGCGAGAAGTACACGTAAATTACGGTTTCCAGCTCTAAGGGAGTCGGTGGTAATATTGTCGGGTCGTGGAACTGTGCCTCTTTTCATGCTTTCGATTGCAATTCGAACCTCCGACGGAAGAATTCCAGCTAGTTTTTCTCCAGCGAGGATATTAGGGCCAGGGACGGGGATTGTGGTACGGAAATGGTTGGTGTAGAACGTTTCCGCTATTAATTCCATGTCATGACGGGTGTTTTTGACGATCCCGTCTTCGTTCATCAG